TTATTTATTTATTTATTTACTTACCTTATTTATTAATTTATTCATTTATTGATATGAAAAATTAGAATAAAATTTTAATCGAGAGAAGTAAGCGTGAAGAGCCGCACGGCATGCTACGCTCCTACGTACTCCGGCTAAGCGCGATCTGATTGAATAACTTTATTCGTTAATAACTCTGTAAATAATATATGGTCTAAGCCAAAATTAGTAAAGGAACTTTTAGTTTAAAATTTTATTCTCTTTTACGCCTTGAAATATTAATTAAGAGTTTTGGGACATCCTGTATATCATGTATATTATATGTATTTGTAATATCAATAGTGCAAACAAATGGTGACAACGCACGTATAATATTTACATGCCAGGTTTTAATTATTTATTTAGCAATATGAATTAACGTCGGTAACATGCGGACAAAACATCAATAAAAATTCTAATTATGTTCATTTATTTTGTTATAAATACTAATTAATTTTGTCTGTTAACTTTTTTTCCCTATGAATTTTTACTTTTTTAACTTTATTAAACTTTTATTTTTAAATTTATGTTTTATAAATTCGCGACTCCGAATGCAATGGCCTTCTGAAAAAGTTAAATAGGCAAATAGATTTTAAAACAATGAAAAAAACATTCTTTTGTAAATTATTCAACTCGGGATATAATTCGGAATAAAAATTAAATTCATATTCAAATCATAATATTTACAAAATTTGTACGTATAAAAAATGGTAAAGACATATTACAGCACTACAATTTTACATTAAGGCATACCACAGTTTACCTAGACTATGTCTAAATAAATTTTTCCTTTGTAAAAAGAAATATTATAATATTAATAATTTTTTTCTTTACAAAATAATAATAAAAAGTAAAAATAAATGTAAATAATATAATTTTGACAAAATTTCTTTATTTTCTTTTTTTTTATATGTAAACAATGTCATTTAATAAATTATTCTATTACAGAGCGCAGATAGTCCAAGTCATCACACTGGTGAGCGTCGAGAGAGTCTAACGCAAAACATGCTGCAGAAATCGATAAGGATACTGAGGACACGTAATAATCGGGTTTGCACATGTAACAGACGCCAGCAGAGGAGGAGAAAGAGTGAACGAAAAGCTAGCACCACCTTGGGCATCATCGTTGGTGCATTCATTGTTTGTTGGCTGCCGTTTTTTATGCTAGCATTGATCAGACCATTCTATAAACCTGATGACATCCCTCATTCAGTATCATCCCTGTTTCTTTGGCTTGGTTACTGCAATAGCGCGTTGAACCCAATTATTTACACAATCTTCAACAAAGAAATCCGTAAGCCATTCATCTTGATAATGTGTTTACGCTGGCGCAACCTAAATGAATTGATGCGCGAGGAGTATTACTATCAACAATTTGGTGAACGAAGGACAAGAAACGGTACAAATGAGGGTACAGAGAATACTGAGCGTGCGGATCTCGTCGATAACCAGATTATCGGCCATTATAATCAAGATATCGACAATAAAAACCAGAACATTGATAATAATAACCAAAACCTCGATAATAATAATCAGGATATTGACCATAACAATCAAGATATTGACAATAACAATCAGGATATCAACGGTGACAATCAACATGTCGACGGTAATCAAGATACCGATGATAACAAACAGGATGTCGATAATAAGAAACAAGACTTTGATGATAATTTTATTGATAACAATCAAATTGTCATTAAAATTGAAGAAGAATCTAATGAAGTGCCTTCTTTCTGATTTGAGGAACATTCCTCGAATAACGAGGATGATGGTATTCGACAAAGATCGTCGTCATTCTGTATAGACACTTTTCAAGTTATTGCTGAAATCCATACGCCTTGTGTGACAGAAACCCTAGTATAATTAATCAAGAAAAATTTAGGATATATTTTATCGTATAAGTTTATAGGATAACTCGTTGGTATTTTCTTAAAAAATGCTCATAGTATTTAAACAGCTCATTCTCCTTTTTTTTTTGTTAATTTAAATGTCTCTTCTATTGTCATCATTTTGCCATTGTTGATGTCCTGATTGTTATTGCCGATGTCCTGATTGTTATGGTGAACATATTAATTATTATTGTCAATGTGCTGATTGTTATTATCAATGTTTCGGTTGTTATTATCGATATTGTTGATATTATTGTTTCTTATTATTAGGAATAAAGAAAAATTTTTTCTGTGTATCGTTTTACCTATTTGTTACCTACTTAAATTGTACCGACAGCTTTATTTTATCCTTTGTTATTTTATTTCAAATTATTGCCGACAATTTTGTTGCTGATATTCCAAATCAATTAACTCGGTTAATTTGGCAATCGCTATTAAAGTCTAATTTTAATCTACCTTAAAAATTGTAAATGTTATAAAACTATGTGGAAAATGTAAGACTGTATGGATGCACTGTCTATTCTGATCTATGCGAGAAAAAATGTATCACCTTTTTTATGCAGCTAGAGATGTCTAAAAATTATTTTTATAACTTACAATAATAAAAAACAATCATTTTTTTAATGTTAAAAAATTGAAGGTTAATTATTCATTTTTTAATGTATCTTTGCTCTTAAGAGGATGCTGAAAAGTCGGAATTACCGATACATTGTAGTCGTAACGATTTCTCCGAAATGACAAAACGGAATTAAAAACCCTTTCACAGGATTGAATTAGACATAAAATGTATTCGGGGAACGAAGAAATTTGTAGTAAAAACGAAAAAAATTAAAAACTGCTTTTACCTGACATAAACATTTTATTAGTGTAAAAGTTCTGTAGGTCATATGTACAAAATGCTTACGTCCTCCGAATCGGATTACATGAACAGAAAATACAAAGCCTTCTGAGCTACAATTGAAAGTCTAGGAAAAAAGAAATCCTTACGACTGCAATTTATGGTAATTTGTACGCCTGAGTTAAGATAGGAATGATAACAAAGCGTCTAGCAGTGCCGGATTTTGCAAGAGATGGCACTTCAATAAGTTAAATAAGAACAATGTATGTTTTAGTAAGACAGGAGATATTGTAAGAAGTTCATTTAGAGATAACATTGAAATTGAATACTGAGATATTGTTTTATCTACCTTGTGCAAATTTTTCTGACCTTTCAGCATCCTCTTAAATGTTTAGACATGTAAATTTGAATAAATATTTCATCGAATTATTTGTAATATTTATAATTCTCAAAGATATATGTATATTTAAGGTTTTAAAAGTAATCTATAATTAACCGTGTTAATTAATTTTAATTTTCAACAATAAGATTGTTGGCATAAACTAATAATAAATTTATTGTAAACTTACATATTGCTATAATATGTAACCTAAATGTGATAATTAATTATGTGTAAATATTAACAAATATGCGTAAATACATGTACAGGGTGTTCCTTAAGTACATTGCCATACTTAAGGGAATAATTCTTTGGTTTATTTCAAGTAAAAAAATTTCATATATATGTCCTAAGCGGCTTAATTTCTGAATCAGGGTGTTTTCAAAAAAATTTAAACGAGTGGTATCTGTCTAAATTTATAGCAATAATAAAAATTTAAACGAGTGGTATCTGTCTAAATTTATAGCAATAATATTAATATTTATATTAATATTAATATTTGTAGTAATATTTTTCTGAAAACATTCTATATTTCGGAAACTAAACCGTTTAGGATGCATGTTTATATAAACTTTTTTACTTGAAATATATCAAAAAATATATGCCTTCTTGAGTATGGTAATATATTTAAGGTCCTCTGTGTGCGTACGTACGTGCGTGTGTGTGTGTGTGTGTGTGTGTGTGTGTGTGTGTGTGTGTGTGTGTGTGTAGGGAAGGGGAATAAGACTGATATCTTAAGTAAAATCGCATATATCATTTTGGAACAAAAAGAAATCTGTAAATAAAAACTTAGAGATAAAATCTTTTGCAAATTCAATCACTTAAATACATACAATATCAGACAAAAAAATGCGTAAATTTATTTTATTCACATTCTTCGATTTTGTAATAGATTTATTACTTAATGGTATTAAGTATATTGGAAATATTTTAAAGCAATGATATAATAATAATAATTTATATAATGATTTCAGCATAATATAAAGTTGGACTTACTAATGTTTATATAAGAAAAGTGATATTTTTTTGTAAATTTAGAATTTTTCACTTTATAATGAACAAATTTGTTGATAATATACTGTACAAATGCTACAATCAAAACTTGCAGTGACCCGATTATCAATAAGTAATTTTATATTATAATTGCATTTTTATTAATATAAGTTACGTATATAAACAAAAGAAAAACAAAAATTAGTACAATAAATAATTTTTGTAAAAACATTTTTATGATAATTATGTGTAGATTGTGTTTGTATAAATAACATGTCCAAAAACGTCATCGGTATCTTTAATAGAAAATAAAATATGATGAAAAATTCAAATTACGCATTTTTTTGCTCGCTATTGTTTTATATCCTGAGGATTCCACAATTCTTTTCTCCAGCAAAACTTTGACGAATAACTTTTTAGAATAAGAAGTGTCTTGATCAGAAAGAATAGCAACTGAAATCTTAACTGTGGTTCCGCGTATGAAGTTTATTTGAACTGCGTCATCAATACACTATGATGTAACGTTTAATTGTGATGTATATATAACTTGCTTTCTTGTCGCGACAACGCCTAGGAACTAAACACCGCCCTGAGTCGCGAACACAGCTACTAAGGCACTATAGATGTAGGTATTCCTATCCGCCATCTTGGTTCCAGCTAAATAGACAATGTAACCCCAAGTTTATTCAACAATAAAGTTAGAAATTAATAATTATTACAATTTTTTATTTTATTATTGCAATTTTTATTACTGCAATGCAGCAAAGCATCTTGATTGTAATGTAGATTTACTTCGTCAGACGTACTATAAACTCATCATTTATTAGTTGCTTTCCATTTACACCAAAACTCAGGTAATTCTCATTTGTAACGTCATAACTCACAAGGGAAGTTTGCGAACCCGAAAATTCAGAAAAATCTGACTCTTGGTGTAAAAGTAGAGCAGTTTATCCGTAGCATGAAACTATTTTTCGTTGGTGCTCAATTCTGTTTTGCAGGGATGAAACCACCCCTTGAAA